CCCCATCCCAGCGCCTCCTGCTGGCCCTGCTGGCACTGGCATGCTCCCCAAGCTACAGGCGGGGCTCACTTTTTGGCAGCAACCGTCTTCTGGAGGTTCCACAGCTTCAGCGTGCCGTCCTCAGAGGCAGTGACCAGCGCGGACTCCGTGTGGTGGAAAACCAGGGCCCGGATCCCATCGTAGTGACTCCGGAGGGTGAACTTGGGATTCCAGGTCTTCTTAAAGGCGTCCTTGCCATCCGACAGCTGGAAACACAAAACAAGGCCGTGTGATCACAGCTATGCTCTCCTCCTCCTCTGAGCTGGGCCAAGCCACCTCTGTCCATTTCCAATTAGAGCCCCTGACAGGGGCCAGCAGCCAGGCTACCTCTGCACATCCTCTGCAGTTCTCTGAAAACATCCACTCAATGTGCAGCGGCAGTCAAAAAAGTGAACAGAATGTTGGGAATCATTAAGAAAGGGATCGATAATAGGACAGAAAATATCATATTGTCTCTATATAAATTCATGGTACGCCCACATCTTGAATACTGCGTGCAGATGTGGTCGCCCCATCTCAAAAAAGATATATTGGGACTGGAAAAGATTCAGAAAAGGGCAACAAAAATGATTAGGTAATGGAACAGCTGCCATATGAGGAGAGATTAATAAGACTGGGACTTTTCAGCTTGGAAAAGAGACAATTAAGGGGGGAATATGACAGAGGTCTATAAAATCATGACTGGTGCGGAAAAAGTAAATAAGGAAGTGTTATTTACTCCTCATAACACAAGAACGAGGGGTCACCCAATGAAATTAATAGGCAGCAGGTTTAAAACAAACAAAAGGAAATATTTTTCCACACAACACACAGTCAACCCGTGGAACTCCTTGCCAGAGAATGTTGTGAAGGCCAAGACTATAACAGTGTTCAAAAAAAGAACTAGATAAGTTCCTGGAGGATAGATCCATCAATGGCTATTAGCCAGGATGGGCAGGGATGGTGTCCCTAGCCTCTGTTTGCCAGAAGCTGGGAATGGGTGACAGGGGATGGATCACATGATGATCACCTGTTCTGTTCATTCCCTCCCGGGCACTTGGCATTGGCCACTATCAGAAGACAGGACACTGGGCTAGATGCACCTTTGGTCTGACCCAGTATGGCCGTTCTTATGTTCTGGTTGTGGGTGATTATCCCAAGCATTTGCCTGCTTGCTGGCTCAGTACCACACCTGTCTTAACTACATTAGGTCCTTATATGGCCTCCATCGCTGTGGTATCAGAGCACCTCACAATATTTATCCTCTCAACACCCTTGTGAGGCAGGGCAGAGCAGGGGTATTATTATTATTGCCTCTGTTCGCACAGCACCTAGCACAATGTGGCCCTGGTCCATGACGAGGGCTCCTAGGTGCTAATGTAACACACCTAATAAATAATAATTTCACTCATGGGGAAACTGAGGCAGTGACCCACTCAAGGTCACAGAGGTACCGTGAGGCAAAGTAGGGACTTGAATCCGTCTCCCAAGTCCCAAGCAAGAGTCATAACTGCTGAGCCATCGCTCCCTCTCAACCCCAACAGGTTCAGTTACACACTTTTGCTGATGCCAATGGCAACGTGGCTTTTTATGGAATCATGGAGCTGCAGGGCTGGAAGGGATCCCAAGAGGTCCTCTAGTCCACCCCCCTACACTGCAGCAGGGTTGAGTCTACCCCCTGTCTGGCCCTGGGAGCCATGCGCTCAGGTCTGGCGCTAGGAATGCTCAGGACAGAGCACGGGTGGATTAGAACAAAACTCTTGTCAGAAGAGCTAAAAGAGGCAGGAAAGAAACCCAAACTGGCCTCATACTCCTTCCTGCACTGGAAAATGGCTGCATATTTGAAAGGGAAACTAGCAACCCAGTAGAGTCATACTGGTATGTTCACTGGCTATGCAGGAGGGTGTTCTGGTGGTCCCATAGGAATCCAAGTTTGCACCATATGTCCCAGACCGACTCGGAGAAGGCCCCGGCCCTAGCTCCCACTAGAGTTCCCATCTGGGGACTGCTAGTAGACACATCCTGCCTGATCCCAACTGTCTGCCTGGTGCACATGGAGCAAGAGGGCATCTGTGTCAGACAGGACCCACTCATGTGGTCTGTCCATCTGTTCCACACCCAGATAAGCTAGTAGCTAGCGCAGCCCCCAGAGCACGGGGGTCCCTGCATGGAACTCCCCTCCAGCACGCAGGCAGCTGGCTTCTGCACCAGCTGAGATCCTCGGGTTGTTTCCTGAAGAGGGCATTATAACATAGTCCAAGCTGGGGGTGACAGCAGCTAGGTCTGCGGAGAGAAATGACTGCTAACTCCAACCAGGGGGTGAATGGGAGGAGATAATCCTGGACACTGCTCTGCCCAGGGACCCCAGGAGGCAGAAAGATCCCCAGCCTGGGGGGCTCATTAGACTCATCTCAGTGCAAAGGACAGCTGGGTATTAGAGCCCACTGGAATGGGATGTACTGGGTGCATGGAGTGGTGCTGTGCCATGGATGCCCGGCACCACAGGCACCACACCACTAACACTCACAGGGCCTGGGCTAAGGGCCAGCTCGGAAAGCTGGGGCGAGGAGATGACGCCGGCTACTCACGTCACAACTGAGCTCGTTGTCGTTGGTGACGGTCAGGTCTGCCAGGTCCCCCAGACTTACTTCCCCTCCGCCGATGGTGTCCATGATAAACACGTCCGAGGAGAAGCCAAGCGACCCTGGGGGGAGAAGGGGCAAAGCTCAGGGCTAACTGGAGAGGTGCCAGGTGGAAGCGGGTTTACAACTGGAGGAAAGAAGGCAGTATTCCAAGCTTGAGAAGGGTATGTTGGGGGCACCCCTAGGTGGGGGGTAGTCTGTAGGGCCTCTGTAACTGGGGATTGGCTGAAGAGGTCCAAAGAAGATCAGAGGAACATGACAGCTTGAGCGTAACGGACCCCCCAACTTCTCCCCTCCATAACACAATCTCCACCCCACAGTCCGAAACAGGAGGGGAACAAAGGGACTAGCTGTTACCTTCGTGAGACCTGGGATGACTGGAGATGACAGATGGAATAGATGGTTTAGGAGGGAGCCCATCAACATCCCGGAGATCGGCAAGCATGCCTTGAAGCTTAACTCTCCGGCTCTCTGCAGAGGAAGGGAAGATGAGGGAGGAAGGTTAAAATCCAGGCCCTGGCAGCGTGGTAAGAGACAGGTAGCTTCTTTGGGACCAGACCCCTAAAATATACTGAGCATGGGTATGCCCTCAGCATTTGTCAGTTTCACTGCTTCCCCTGTTCTTGGTGGAAGTCTTCCATCCAGCCACAGGGGAAAGAGAAAAATGCAAGAAGAGGAATTCATTCAGTGAAGCCCTATGGCCTAGTATGCAGGGGGGTCAGACTAGATGCTCACAATGGTCCCTTCTGGCCTGGGAATCTACGAAGAGGAAAAGAACAGGCCTGGGACCTATTCTGTTCTACGGGGTTCTTCCCTCGCCCTCATCACTGTAACATCAGGGCACCTTTCAGTCACGCAGTAACTGACATAACCACCTCTCCCCTGTGGTTCGTTCTATCCCACGAGGGGTGGGGATTGTGTGGGTGGGCGGGTGGTTTTGGTAAAGTTTTGTTCTTGTTTATTAAAATGTCCATGCCGCTCTGTGTTTCTGTTAGAGGAGCCTGGTTGGAGCGGTGCTCCTGGCACTGGGAGCAAAGGGTGGGCAGATTTCGGATAGTCCTTAGCTCCTGAGGAAGTTTGTTCCGCAGTCTGGGACCAGCCCCCGAGGACGATCTGTCTCCTGTGTAGACAGGCTTCACCCTGATGGTAACAAAGTTCCATGGTGCTGGAGGAACAGCGTCATCGACCAAGTTCCCCACCCTGGAGCCTCTTTTAGATAGGCTGGGCCCAGGCCATGGAGTGCCTTGAAGATAAGGACCGAGACCATGAACTAGATTCAATTTCTACAGGTTGCCAGTGTAGAGGGCAAAGGACAGGTGTGACATGCTCACGGCAGCCGGCGTTGCTGCCCAAAACTGCCTTCGACTCATGGTGTGAAACTAATGATGCCCCTTTAAAAGGAAAGTTTTCCTTCCAGGCTGGGACACCGCATGGCCCATTGCATCCAGGAGGAAATATGGAGTGTTTCTAGCAGCTCTAGAGGGTGCTCACGTCATATGGAGTTCAGGTCCAGGGGCTAGGACCAGCTTCACTGCCGGGAACTGGAGCTGCCAGGAGCCAGGCTGGAATCAGTGGGGGGAGGAGGGGAGGGGATGGATTACTGTACGTGTGCATGTGGGAATGGGGGAGGGGGAACGTTTCATGCCATCCAAGCCTGCAGGGGAAGTGCAGCTGCTCGGTGCTTTCCTGCTGAAGGCTGGTTGAGGGCAGCCCCAAGGGGAAAGTAGGATCATCCCGACCGGACATGGGAACAGCGGCTGCTGCTAGTAATGTGCTCGGCAGGAAGTCTGCGTTTCCCCTCTGAAAGCTCAGAGCACAGCTGGGGGAGGAAGGGGGCAGGGAACCCCACATCCCTGCAGCAGAGATGGGGAGTCAGTGGCTCTCTCACCTTGCTAGAAACCTTCCCCAGTTTGGGAAGTTAACCAGGAGTTTGCAGTGTGACCCAGCAGTAAAGCGCACAACAGATCCTGGGGAGTGGGAGTGTGTACAAGGAGGTGCGGGGCTCTTGGGATTTACGTGCAGTATTAGGCACCATGTTCCGGGAGGATATGAACGAACCGGAGGGAGTTTGACTAACAGAAATGATCCAGGAGGTGGCTGAGGGTAAAGGTATTCTTCTCCCTGACTCCTAGCCCCCCTGCTCTAATCACTAGACCCCCACTCCCCTCCCAGAGATGGGGATAGAACCCGAGTCCCAGCCCCCCTGGGCCCGCCATTATATCCCAGTCCTTTCCCATAGCCAGAGATAGAACCCAGGCATCCTGGCTTCCAGCAACCACGTGCTCTGTGCAGAGCCTGGCTAAGCTACGAGGAAGCTGTAGGGGAGGGGAGACAAGTCGCTGGCTGCATATACATGAAGGATGTCACCACAAAGGTGGGTGGGGAATTCGTTTGGATGACACATGGACGAAAGTTGCAGCAATGGAGGGTTAACGTGGACTGTAAGGAGCTGGGAAAAGATCTCCCCCAGGGACATGTGGAGAAGGGGGCAGGAGAAGGGGGGGGAAGCCCCATCGCATGGACACACAGAACCAGGCTGGAGGGCTGTCCTGTGGGGATGGCTGCTGGGAGTTCTAGGATCCTATCCACACACTCCCATTACCGAGCTCGTTCCCGTCCCCGGTGCGCCGGGCGTCCCCGGAGCCCTCGCCGTTCTCCCCAGAGCCCAAGAAGTCAAACTCGTTCAAGGCATCCTCAGAGTCTTCATCATCCTCCTCATCCTCCACCTCAGGCATCAGGGGCTTTGTGGCAAGCTGGCAACACAGACTGGAGAGAGTTAGCCTAGGGCGGGGAGGGCTCCAAGCTTACCCTGCTCCCCGCAGCCTGTGGTCACAACGCGGAGACACCAGCCCACAGGACTGATATATCCAGACCTGGGATGGGGTCCAGGGAGATTCTGTTCAACACAGGAGGGCTGGGGCAGGAAGATCAGAGACTGTGGCCAAGGAAAGCCATCACTACTGGTTAGTTAGGGCCAGGCACATCTGCACACATGGGAAGGATGCTGCCTTTCTCCAGGCGGAGTGCTTGGGGGAGCAGTGTGCATATAGGGCTGCAGTCACTAAAGGGTTAGCTGTTCTATACAAGGCCAATAGCCACTCGTATGCACGAGCATAGCGCAGGGCTCTGGGCATGCGTGTTAGGACACGTGCGTGCACCAACATTAACACGGCGTAGGGCTTCTCTGGCTATCCCATTACCATGCCCCCAGACTGAGCGCTGGGGCGGCAGGTCCCTCACCCTGGGGCAGGCTGGAGTTGGGAAGGTGAAGTCATTTCAGGCATCGCTGTGTTACGGCAGCAGGGGTCAGACCGCCCCTCTGCAATCTCTGCCACACAGCGCTGCAGCACGGATCTCATTAGAAGCCAGAGATACTTGATGGGTAGAAAGGGGACAAGGGAACCCTGCAGAAGAAACCACCACTCCCCCATCAGCAAGGGAAGAGGAACCAAGAAAAAGAGGGTGTATGGGGCAATGGTTAGAGCACAGGGGCAACCAGGAGTCCTAGGTTCTATCCCCACCTCTGGGAGGAGAGTGTGTCTAGTGGTTAGAGCAGGGAAGGCTGCTGGGAATCAGGACTCCTGAGTTCTATCCTAGCTCTGTCACTGCTCACCATGTGACTGGGCACGTCACTTCTCTGCTCTGCGCCTCACATCCCCCATCTGTAAAATGGGCAAAATGGTGGTGCACCCCGCAGGACGGAGTGTGAGGATTAATTAAAGAACTCTGAGATCCTTGGATGAAAATGCTAGAGGAAGGCCAAGAATGATCATTGCTGGAAGCTTTCACGTTCAGCTCCCACCACCCGCAGTAGGGGACAACTTCCTATCTGGCTGCCAAGGCAAACACAGGAGCATCTGATCATTATTTATAGCACTCTTCTGCAGAGGCTTATCAAGCACTTTACAAAGGCGAGTGTGTATTCACCTTGTTATACAGCTGGGGAAAACAGAGGCACATGGACAGGATTGGCCCATGGCCACGCAGTGAGATAGTAGTAAAGCCAGGAACAGAACCCAGGAGTCCTGACTCCCAGTGAATCCTTGTTCTAACCAATCCACTACACTCTCCGCTCAGAGAACCCAGGAGTTCTGATGCCCAGCCCCTGCCATCAGAAACCTATTGGGAGTGCTTGTTAGAGTGGCCCAGGACATGTTAATGTCTGAAATGGGACATTCTCCTCTCCTCGTAAAACCTGCCTTTACTCGTTGTTTCTTGTGCTGCCGCTGGGTTTCGAGAGGAAGGCCTTCCAGATCTTCCTCTTCATCGCTGTCCTCGTCCTCGCAGTTCTGGAGGAAGGGGATTTTCTCCATCACCGAGCTGCTGATCCGATCCTTTGTCTCCTTACCAGCGTTCCTGCCAGAGGCAGAGTCGATACCAGGCCAGCGTTAGAGAGCGAGGCTGCACTGCAGCCCCCCAACCCAGCATGGCCCACTGGGCAGAGGGAAAGGAGAGCAGCTGCATTGTGGAAGTCGGGGAGAAGGGATAGAAACCTCCCTGGTTCAGGGCACTAGCTGAGTTCTAACTGCCTCCATGGGCAGGTAATGCCATAGGTGTCTCCTGTCACACCTTCCTCTGAAGCAGCTAGGACCAGCCACTGAGGATCCTGCTCCGGTTCCTATGCTAGATCTCCACGGCCCAGATGTCCCTCCCATGGCGCCCTGCAGCTGGATATCAACACTTCTGCAGTGAACAGATGCACATCCCATTGGGGATGAGACACCAAGCAGCAAAACCCCTCGGTGGGGGCAGCTCCCCCATACCAGGCCGACTCCAGGCAAAGCACCATCTAGGCAGCACGCCCCCTTTCTACCAAGCAGAATCAGGGCCAAGACCCCTCCCTGTAGCGGGTGTATCCCCCTCCACGCAGTGCATCACCCATCTCCCCTACCAGCCAGACTCTGGGTTGAATGCATCCAGCAGAGACCCCCCCCTCGCCCCAGTTCCCCCCACCAGCCGGAACCCCCCTCATCCAGCAGAGACCTACCCTCCCCCATGAGACACTCCAGGCTGTAACCCCCTTCCCCTGCCAGCCAGATCCCATCCTTGCATCTAGCAGAGCACCCCCGCCCCTAGCAGCCAAACTCCATCCATGCAGCAGCCTGTGAGACAACCCCCAGCGAAGAGAAGCACGCAGCCCCTGATAGAACTCAAGAGGAGGCATAGAACAGCGATGCCCCCTACCGGAGGGAAGCAAGATGCATGGACAGGACAGAGGGCTGCCCGCTCACCTTTTAATCTGTTCCTCGATCTGTTTGACAAGCAACGACTCGCCCCCGTTCAGCCCAGTGGGGCCCGGAGCGGGGCCCAGCCCCAAATCGCTGGGCTCCACGGTGCCGTTCAGCTCCACGGAGCAGCGGCCCAGCAGGGAGCGCACTCGCTTGGAGCGCATGTCCAGGATGGTGTCTGTGTAGCCCACTTCTTCCAGGTACCTGCGGGGAGGGAGAAAGGCGAGCTGAGAGCGAGGACGCAGGGCAGGACATCGTAACACTCTCCGTCTGTGGATCTCCAAGCACTTTAGAGACACTGCGGGTCAGCAATCTCTCCAGAGCCGGCATGGAGAAGGGACTGCTCCAGGCCAGCAAAGCAGACCCGAGAACTTCCCCCTCGCAGTCCTGTGCTCTCCCTCACTTTGTCTGGGATGCCAAGCGAGTAGCACAGACTTAGGGGGAAATGGGGGAGGCCCAGGCAGATCCCCTGGAGGAGGGTGCAGCGTGACAGCCCTCCACGCTGCCAGCGGCATTTGAGCCTCAGAGGGAGCCTCTCCCAGCCACAGGGCAGATACCACATTAAAAGGAACGTAGCTGCAGAGAGGAAGAGTGGGCCTGTGGATAAGGCACAGGGCTGGGAGTCAGGAGAACTGGGTTCTCTCCCCTCAGCACGGCCACAGGCTTGCTGGGGGACCTTGGGCAAGTCACTTGCGCTCTCAGCGTCTCGGTTCCCACCCGGTACACATGGGGATAATGCTACTGAGCTGATGGCCGGAGGACTGAACTTACCACCCAAGCTACATATGGAGCAATGACAAATTCCTCACCTGCAAAGGGAGCATTTACTGCACTGTCAGGACAGATCCACCCTGCACCAAAGCCCCCAAAGAATCTTTGACCATTGAGGCGCTTACGCTAGAGCTATGGTTTAGTCCAGGTGAGGTCATATAAAGAGGGGTCCTCCCGCCCATGCTTTACTGCAGGGTATTTTCAGCTTGCTGCGTAATTGTGCCCCAGGCCCTGGCAGCTGCAAAAGGCAGCACCCAAAAGCCTTCAGAGTTGATGAGGACATGTAGTATTTAGGTTTATGCTTTGTCAGGAGCACCAGGGAGCCCAAAGTCTGGGCAGGGCATTTTTGCATCCTTGTGTATTTCAGAGACCAAAATAAATAAAACTGTAACCTGAGTGGCACCAGAAAAGGATTATCAATAGCCAGAAAGAATAGCTTAGAGGGCTGTGAACTGTCCCTTTCATTTCAGTGGAACGTTAACTCTGGAACATACTGACAACATGTCAAATGTCAATGCCGACTGTTTCATTGCTAATGATGTTATGCATCTCCACTGGAGTTGGAGGAGTTTCATGGGGCTAATTGCTGGGGAGGGGTATAAAGGTATTCAACATGCCCCTCCCCAAATTTAAAGACACCTGTGCAAAAGGGGGAGGGAAAGATGATGCAACCCCTCCGTGGCACCTTAAGCCTCCCCTGGTGCCCCCTGTTATATTCTACAAAGCAGCTGCATGTTATCAATGCAAATATCTGCAGCACCACAGACAGTCCAGCTCTGACAGAGTAAACTCAATTAACCTGATTACTACTAGCCCCAGTGGATTCTGTACTGACCAGAGTTGAGACAGTGAAGGGGATGAAGACTGGAGGGGGGGGTGGGGGGGCAGGGGAAGAGATTGAGACCGTGTAGCTTAGTCCTAGGCTGCCTGCTGCAGAACTGAGGAGCATTGTGCCCCATCGCACATGGGATCTTGGTTCCAAAGAGTTCTTAGAAGAATGGTAACTAGTCGGTTAGTGGATAAAACAGAGGCGATGGGCAGGGTTTAAGTTTGGTTCTATAGGAATTGCTCCTCATGGATCAGCACCTGCCAACGCTGTTCTAAGAGCTGATTGTGACAACCCAACTCCTTTAGCGTATGAGGTATTTTCTGTATGTTTGCACAGGCTCTAATTCAACGGCACCTCGCCAGGTCTGGCCTCTCAGGGTATGTGGACATGCCCAAGCACCTCGCCAGGTCTGGCCTCTAAGGGTACGTGGACATGCCCAAGCTAGCTTTGATCTAGCTAGAGCAATGCTCTCTCAAGTAACAATAGCAGTGAAGTCACAGCAGCATGAGCTAGCCCTGCCCGCCTGGGAGCTTGGGTACATACTCGCGTGGCCACTGCCCATCCTGGGGCAGCTTCACTGCTGTTGTTACTCGAGCTAGCTCGGGTATGTCTACACCTGCCGCATTCACACCTCTGAACTGCAGTGTAGACAGACCCTAGGGGCAAGAGCAATAGAAATGTCACGTAACACCAGCTAGGGCAAAGATGAGAATATTCCCATTTGCTGCTTCGACAGCGGGGGTGTGGGGAGCAGGGCACACCTCTTTTACCAACCTCACCTGGAATAGCTTGAGATTAAGTCCATGGGGCCCCGACGGTCAGGGCTTTGCAAAGGGTGCAGAGCGCAGGCATATCCCAAAAGGCATGGACCTGTATTGACAATATTCAAAGGAAAATCGCCTCCCACCTCCCCCAGAAATGCAACTGCCTCTGGGATGCAGCACAGCAAGTGTTTAACAGCACATACCAATGCTGTCATACCCATCTGAAACAAACAGGGGAAATTCAGAGAGGCAGAGTGGAATTGTCCAGTATGGAACAGGCCAGGACACTGGGATTCATGCTCCTGTGGCAAGTTCTTCTAAGAGCTACAATCCAAGTAAATCTCGCCTGAAGAATCATCCTAGCGGCTCATCCAACTCCTCCTTCCCCTGTCCCATCACACAGCTCCCCATTCGCCCACTTTCCCCTAGGGCTCAGCTCCTGAGCCTCGGCCCCTCCCAGGAGGCTCTTCATACTCACTGCCGGAGCAGCTGGCGCCCTTCTTTCCACACCAGTGGGTTGCTTTCCAGTGAAGTTGTTTCCGCTGGGCCATTGGAAACTGAGAGGACAGTAAAGAAAGGGTGTCAGTGACGCACATCCGACATGGGGATCCCATTCTGGCTTCAGCACCAGCTTTTCAGTAAGCCACCCACAGCCCTGTAGCAGCCTCAAACCCAAGCCCTCACCTGTCAGTGCTAGGCTAACCCCATGGAAAGAATCCAACCCAGAGGTCACGAGCCCATAGTATCCCACATCCCAGCTATGCGCAATCACAGAAATAATGTCTGTATCCATGAGCAGGGGACTGGGCAGAATATATAGGACACTGTGGGTTTGAGAGCACTCGCATGGTACAGTACCTGGTTCTGACAGATCTGCTCTCTTCTCCCCTTGGTTCGGTTCAGTTCCAAACTTCAGCTTGTGGTATTTTGACCTTGAACGAATGTGGAAAAGTGAAGTTTGAGGTGAACCTAAAGCAACTGACAACGCACGATTCCCATATTATAGAGGGGAAACTGAGGCACAGACATGTGATGCAATGTACCTATGGTCACACAGTGAGTCTGCTCCAACCACTCCTCAGAATGGAGACCAGGACTCAGGAGTCCTGACTCTCCATGCACCCCTGCTCTAACCACCTGGCAATCCTTCCCCTTGGAGCTTGGAATTGAACCCAGGAGTCATAACACGTGTTTCTCTGCTCTCATCTAGTCTAACCACTATACCGACGCATCCTTCCAGACCAGAGTCAGACACTGACCGTAGTCTGGCCCCTTCATGATTCCCTAGGCTCTACCCAACAGCCAGTAACACCCCAGTGTGCTGCCATGTGTGTATATGAAAGGGGGGAGGATGGGGGGTGGCCATGCGCCCATCACCGTTCGGAAACCCTTGCAGCTGGACTCATGAGACGGCAGTAGCAGTAGATTTCAAGGGATCACAACTGATGACTGAGACTTTCATGGTCTAACCCCGGTGACCTAACAGACGACAGGACCCCCTCCAAGAGCGAAGGGCCCCGCACCTGTTCTGCTGCTGGAGAAAACGAAGCCAGGGAGTCTGCGTGGGAGGGGAAGTTTCCAAGGATCCCCCGGAACGTGGGGAGTGACAAGCAGGCCAGCCCACTCCCAAAGCCATAGTTGCCCTGGGTGTTCCCATCTCCTCTAGCGGCCACATCTCTTACCTTTCTTGCTTTAAGGCATACTCCAACATCTTTATCCTGCGCACGAGGTCTGTCTTGAGGTTCTCTTGGCCCTTCCTCTCTCCCTGCAGAAATGCCACTTGGGCCTGTAGGAACAAGAACCAAGCCCAAGGTCAGTCAGGTCCCATAAGGGCTTGGAGCGCAGGTTGTTGGCTCACACCCATGCTGCCCTCACCCCCTGCCTGCCCTACCGTGCTTGGAGATCCCCATACAGGAAGTGCTAGAAATGGGTAAAGGATGGTTTTTTTTTTTTACTTATTCCAGCAGAACCCAAAAACCAGTGCCAGTTATACCAGCCCAGTTGCTTGTGTACGGCGCTAACGTTCCCAATCAGTGCAGGTGTAGGAACTAATTTATTCAGCCACTTTCATCCGAGGATCTGAAAGCAAATCACCCCGTCACACAGGATGCCTCACAGCTCCCTGGGGCGAGTCAGAGCCATTATTCTCCATTTTACAGATTTACCAAGAGGCACGGTGACCTGCCCAGAATCCCATAGATATAAAAGCAGGAGCAGAGTCTCAAATGGAAAACCAGAGTCCTCATGCCCAGCTCCCCCGCCGCCGCTCTAACCACTAGCCCCCACTCTGGTCTATTCCATAGAAGATTTTAACCACGCTTATCACCGTAGTATCTGAGTGCCTTCCAGCAGCGCACCATGACTACACATCGGTCATGTGCTGGTCTCTCCTCCTCTCCCCAGAGGGAGAAGCGCCGTGCAGTGGACTGTCTGGTTTTGATAGGGGTGTCTGTTTTCTTTTAATATACAGGTATTTGTTGCTGTGTTTTTATAGAAGGCAGGTCAAAGAAATGTTCCTTGCAGTTGGAGTGGAAGGTGGTGAGGGTTACGATAGTCCTTAGTTCCTGGAGACGTTTCGTCTACAGCCTCAGACCACCCCTGGAGACGGCTCTGTCTCCCGCATGGACTAGCTTTACTCTTATTGTTGAGAGTCCATTGGGCCAGAGCAGCAGAGCTGTCGACCACAGTCTTTCCAGGAGCTTTAGATGATCTTTTTGATATGCTGGGCCCAGGCCATGTGCCGTTTTGAAGATAAGGACCAAGACCTTGAACCTGATTCAATATGTTCTAAGAAGCCAGTATAGAGAGCGGAGGACAGGTTTGATGTGCTCCAGCAGCTGTGTTGCTGAGGAGACATGCCGGGGCGTTTTATACTAGTTGGAGTTGCTTAAATGCTGAAGTGGGAGTAGAATCCAGGAATCCTGACTCTCAGCCCCACTTCTCTAACCCACCCGATCCCACCCAGAGGTGGGCATAGAACCCAGACATCCTGACTCCCAGCCCCGCTGCTCAACCCCACTCCCCTCTCCCAAAGGCAGGAACAGAACCCAGGAGTCCTGACTTCCAGCTCTCTTGCCCTAACCACAAAACTATCCTTCCCCTCCGATGTCATTGCCAAAACTCTGATAAAAACAACAGGCCAATTTCCTGCAGGTGCATCTCTGACTTCAGTGGCATCAGGCAGCTAATGCCGGGGCCGACTCAGCCCAAGGCACTGCAAGGCATCCACAACACCTCCCTCCTCCAGCTCTTTCACACAGCAGCAATCCAGTTAATTGCAGACCTGCCCGCTGCTGGGCAGCGGCCGCGAGGAGCTCACTCCACTCCTCATGCTCTGTTGCATTTGAGAGACTGCTCCAGTCTGGACTGAGCTCGGGTGTGTATTTTCTCACCCTTCTACAGGCAATTTAACCCAATCACAAAACGTTTCCATCACTTAAGGGCCGTCTGTTGGCTTAAGCCGCGGGAATCTGCACCATATGCCAAACTGCCTGCCAGCTCCTAAGGCGAGATTGCGAGCTGGCTCCACCATCCGCCAGCTGACACCTTCTTAAACCCCCCACCCCCACCCACCAGTCTATTAACACAGATTTTCTGCTTATTAGCCAGATTTCCGGTCCGACATGCTCCCGTCAGTCAAACCCTGTCCCAGCAAACAGTGATGTTAAGCACCTGTTACAGATTCATTTCCAATCATTTAACTCATAGCACATCCCCAGTTTTCTGAGCTTCTAACGTCAGCACCTTGTGCCCAATGCTCTAGGGTAGCAGAGTCGAACCCCACAGGAGCACTGTTGCCATCTCTGTAGGGATCAGTCCCATCTCCTCCACAACCCCTCTCTCCTGCTGGCCATGTACCTGCTCAAATGAACCTGGAGCCCTCTCTGGCTACAAGAATTGATCTAGCCCAACTCAGCCTGCTGTCGCATACCAGATCACCGTGCCAGGATCAAGACTAGAATTCCCTTTGCAAACATAACCTACCTTAGAGTACCACCGTCTAGTGCAGTGTTTCTCAAACATTGGGTCATAACCCCCGGGAGGGGGAAGTGGGAAGGATCGTGAGGCGTTGAAATTTTTATTACAATCTAAAGCAAAGAAGATCTCGCTACCCCACTTCCCACATCCTCTGACCGTTCAAGGTCATGTGTTCTCTGTCGAGCTCTCGAAACACACACACAAATCGATTACTTAGCCTCAAGTACCAATATATATTTTTAATCTAAACTTTTATAGTAAGGGGAAAGGGGTGGCAAAAATTTTTAACTTCAAATAAGGGATTGCCAACTCGCAAAGGCTGATAAACTCTGGTCGAATGGAACGAACACAGGACTAGGAGTCGACGAATCTGAAGTCCTCGTCCTAGCTCTGCCACAGACTCACAGGGACTTCAGCAAGGCCCTTCCCATTTTGGTGCCTCAGTTTCCCCATCTGTACAGTGTGGATAATGATACCGACCCACCGCACCAGAGGTGGGGGGTGGGGAAAGAGCACTTTGCAGATGGAAAAGGACTGTGCTAACCACTGCTCAGAGACTGGGTCAAAGAACAGCTTCCAGTGTGTGCCCGTAAACTCATTCCTAAAGAGCTTCCACTTCCCACAGCAACTCCTAGGGACCCTAACCTAACACTATAACTTCTTGGCCTGCTTAACCCTATGTGAGCTCTGGGGAAGCATAAAAGTCACAGAGTTTGCTGGATCGAGACAAAGATTCTTGGCCCATCACACTCGACCCCACAAACCATCCCACAGGTTAATGCAATCACTCCCAAGGAGCCTGTGACCCTCAGGGACTGCTTCAAATACTTCACAGATCTTACTAGGTTGAAAGATTCCATGGAGGCAAAATATTCAGATTCCTACAAAGACTTCTTGGAGTCCGCAGGCACACTGGCCAGTTTGAACCATTTTTTTAAAGGCTGTAGCTTTGGAGAAACGGCAGTGCAGTTCTAACAAAGATGACATCAAGGTATGCTAAATAACACGCAGGTAACCAAGGCTACAGTGTACTTTGAGTGCCTGGTGTAGAATGAATAATTCCAAATAGGAAGGGGATCAGTACTTCACTTGTCAGATTAAAACGAAGGAAGTTCCCTGGTTAAGAAGAAAAAAAAAGGTGGTAAAATGGAGTTAAGACTGAGAAAGTATTTGAAGAAGGAAAAATGTGAAGAACACTAGAGTTTTACCTAGTCCTGTAGAAAGCCAAGGAATTCCAAGCTGAAGTCTAAAATCAATCAACTGATAATTTCCAAACGGGCCTTTCAATTAAGATCCCAAACAGCCTTAGCCCTCTTCACCTCTATGTCCCATTTTGCGTGTCTGCTATGAAAGGTTTGAGTGGAGATAAAAGTACAGCAGTAACACAAACTGCTCTGACAACACACACCTTGGAATTTCCACCAGGAAATGTGGGACACTAGACAGGCCTAAAGCAATGGGACTTTATGGAATGACTTTTAGTATGCAACCTTTGAATCAGAACGTCAATCAGAAGCCATGCCCACCTCTTACACTGCCGAAGCCATGGGTTTATGTGCTGTAATATGTCCTTTCCTAGGAGCAGCAGGGCCAACGTAAACGTAGAGCATTAAAATGGGTGTCTTTACTGGGGCAATAGAAAGTTGCACTGAAGCATGGATAGGCCTGTGCTACAGTTAGCAAATGAGGTCTGCAGGAAGGCCGGAAGTTGCAACCTTCCTTGGGCAACAATCCAGAAGCTCTATTATGCAAAGGTTTCTTTGCAAATGCTGTCACATACACCACTGAGTGGCCAATTCATGCACCAGCTGCACTGGCGCATGCGAACGCAGGTGAAACCCACCGAGCAATAAATGATCACTAGCTAAATGTGTCTCCTTAAGGATGCGTAAGCGAGGCACAAGGTGACGTGATGCAGTGAATATTGTTTGAGGGACTTTTCATGTGAATTGCCACGCTATCTTGAATATTTATCTGGCCCGCACAATCTGAGTGCCACACAATCTTTACCTGTGAGGTAGGGCAGTGCTATTAGGCCCATTTTACAGATGTGGAACTGAAACACAGAGAAGCAAAGTGATGTGCCTCGGTTCATACAGGATGTTTGGGGTGGAGCAGGAATTGAACCGAGGTCTCCCACAGCCCTGGGTAGGGCTCTAGCCGTTGGCCCATCCTTGCAGCTGTTTTCACGTTCCCTCTTCCACTGCTCCTTCCTTCTCCCCTGGAGTCCCAGTTGCCACAAGGATGCTCCCATGATGCTTACAGACACAGAGGCGGAGCTCTGATTGCACTTTTACGTGCTCTTCTGCCACAGCGTTCCCTACCCAGTTATGAAATGTGGGTGGGCAAGAGGATTTGTGGTGGGGTTACTCTCCTCCACTTGGCTTTTTCAGCCACATCCCCGCTCCCTTCAGTAGCAATGCACATTTGCTGCGGTTGGTTAACTCCAGTATCACTGGCTGGCTTCGGAATGCATTGCTTGCTTCCTAGCCCTCATGATAATTCTCTTTCTCTCTCTTCCAAACAGGAAAGGCTGAGGTCAGAGCTGGCTGGATGAATCCCAAATCTAAGCAGCTGCAGGGAAGTTAGAGTATAAGCATATTAAACCCGGCACAGCCAGCTAATATCTCCCAAAGATGATCCCAAAGCATTCTCCCCAACACATGCCCTTGTTACCTCTAAGAGAAGTATCCCAATCCTCTTTCCATCATTCTTCAGCCACTAACCACTCTCTTGGGTAAATGTCAACATCAGCTCCCTCAATAGCAAGTCCCTCCTCATCCCTGACACTGATATCCATGGAATTACTGAGACCAAGCAATGCTCCCCTGGCCTCTTCTCACTTGAGAATGAGATATGGTCAAGTGGTCTCCGCACAGGACTAGGAGCCAGAAAATCCCAATTTCTAATCATGGCTCTGACAGCGCCCACAAATACAGAGGAGTCATGTCACCGCCCAGCTCTGTGCCTCAGTTTCCCAATCCGAGACTATTGAAACAGTCTCATGGGGGAAGTTACAAGGCTTAATGAGTTAGTGTTTACAAAGGCGGATGGACAGCACTATAGAAGTGTTGAGCACATGGCAGCCTACCCCCAGGGTACCTCCTCCTTGAGAGTCTCATTGGCTGGGCTATGGAGCTGGCATCAGAGTCACGGCCAAGACTGCATCCTAATGCTCTTCTGAAAGCCCCATCTCATCTTCCCCTTGCAGCTTCCTCTTCTTGATCAGTTTCTCTTTCTCCATACTGCTGCTACTGACTCACATGATTCTCTTCCCTCACACCAAGGTCTCGTCCAATCTGCTACCTTCCCACCCTGCTACCCTCCCACCTGTGCCCTGGGAAATGCCCTCGATTTTATAAGCAATTCTCTATGGCCTTTTTCCTGTTCCACTCATAACCCCTCCTACACAACTCTCCTCAGCCTCACCCTGCAGACTAAAGCCATCTCACTGCTCCCCTAGCATCCCGATCTCATTAAACTCTCCAGCTAGATTCGGTCTCTCAATCCCTGCATATTCCCTTGCCTGGATACCTACAACTCTGTCCCATCCGTTGCCTTTCACCCCCTGCTCCCATCAAATCCTGCTGCTTGGCCCACTTCAATTCCCCTTGCTACAAAGACCAGCTATATATACAAGCACGCACCCCAAAAAGCAGTTTATGCCTCATGTCCACACCAGCTATGAGGATCCGGAAATCTGAGACACTTTCTAGGGATGCCTTACAGCCCGCAGCATCCAACACACGTGCCAGAGGCTAGCATCAAGGCCTTCTGGCCTGGCACATGATAAGCTATTGCTCTTCACCTCTTCCACCTGTCCTCCATGTGCGAGCAGAGGAATAAAGTGAAGTCGATGAGATCTGGCCAATTTTGTTTGCCTCTCTCCTGTGATCTACAAACCCATCAGCTTTCAAGGGGATGGTAACTCTCTCACCCAGGCGCTGATGAGTCACACCATTCATTCAGACACCCTTTGCCAAGGATCTGAAAGGTCCTCGCTCACCGCCCTTCTCCACTGGTATTCGGGAAGGAGAATGCTCTGTACCTGAGCTGCGGTTTGGGACAGGGCATTCCTTTAACATCTTCAGCACCTATTTCCATCCCAACCAATTCATCCCTCCAACCCTGTGGAAGTGAATTCACCTGAATTACTAACCGCAGATCCGCTGGCCGTGGCTATTCGGAGAAGTCAATGCACTTAACAGCCCTAGTCACTACTCAGGGAAATGTCCATCCCTGGGCGCTGTCAGCATTGTTGTTTGGAGAGGTTCCCATTTCCTCCCATCCCAATTCCATCCCTAGAGCTACTCAGGGAGAACAGCCCTGCTGGGCTTCATGCCCTATTGAGGGAGATCATAGTCCCCTGCTCCTTAAACAGTATCTCAGGAAAGTGTCATTCCCTTTGCTCCAAACACCAATAACCCGGGAGCTGCTCCTCTTGACCAGACCCCTGGAGGCTATTCAGGGAAGTGACCCCCTCCACCGCCTCTATTAGGTGTCCCACCTCAAGTCTCTCTTCCCCCCCACCCCCGCCCCGCCCCACTCCCTACTGGACTGGATGTTGGCTGTGCCCCTGCCAACAACTCCTTCCCTAGTTGCTATGGGGTTGACAGATGCATGTCCTCCCCCATGCCCTCACCCCAATTCCTTCCCTAGTCCCTATTGGAGGGTGATGGCTACATTTCCCCCCTCGTCACCTCAACTCCCTCTTCAATCCCTCTTGGGCAGCAGCAGACATTTCCTGTCCCCTGTCCCAACATTCACCCCAATTCCTTCACTGGTCACTATGGAGGGATCGACAGCCATGTTCCTCCCCCATGATCACCCCAACTCCCTATTGGAGGGTGACAGCTGCATTCGCCCCAACTCATTCGCTCCTTCCCCTGGTGCTATGGGGAGGCGATAGCCACGTACCCCACCCCTCACACTCACCCCAAGCCTCCTCATGCCTTCTGGGACAGCAACAGCCACAACCCCTAGTTGCAAATAAGGGGTCCCAACTTCTCCCTGCAACGACCTGGTCTCTCCTCAGGTCTAAGCCCCCGATCCGGGGGGGCCCTGACACTCCCCCCGAGCCCCCCACGAAGGGGTCCCCAGTCCTGGGGGGGGGTTACCACTCCCCCGGCCACGGGGGTTCCCGGTCCTGGGGAGACCCTGACACTCCCCCCCCCCCCCCCACTCAGGGGAAGTAGCAGGCCTACCTGGAGGGGCCTGTTGCCATGGGAACCCCCCTCCCCCGATCAGGGGGAATCAGGCCTACCTGGAGGGGCCTGTTGCCATGGGAAACCCCCTGATAGGTTCAGGGGGAATCAGG